ACTCAGTTTTAAGTTTTATCTTCAACGTTTAAGATTCAGCGTTGATAACAACCTGACTGGTGAAGGAAAATGGAAAATAGAGATCGACCAGCGAAGTGAAATGGTCAGCGGAAATCTATGTGAACTAGCCAGAACCGCTGTGACAGAAGCAGAGCTGATTGCGTGAATGCTAAGTCGATCTTCATCCTGCTGCTCATATGCAGGCATGAGCCATGTGCCATGACTGTAAAACTTCGTTCCCAGGTAAAAGGGGCGGAGATGAGCCTTTCGTTTTCCAACCTTGGTGTCCAGCCATTGCCTATCCAGATTTACACGTGATAGGCGTGATGGTTGGCAGGTGTTGCGACTGTTTCTGAAGGGCAAAGTGAAACAGTCAGGACATGAAGAAACAAGGAGTCAGGTTATCATGTGCCTGTCTGTCTTACTGTCTAAAAATACCAGGTCGATCGCAATCGTCAAGGCAATTGAATGCTAAGAGACTTCTCTCATGGAAATGCATAACCATACAACGGAGTGAGTCTGCACCTTTCGGTGTTTAAGTCGACTTCACGTTAAGCAAACCGGTTAGGCTGAAAACTGTTTCACGTTCGCCACTGGTGTCACCAATTGCACAATAGACAATAAGCGCTTGAGCATGACGTTCGGAATTCAAAAGCAAGAGATCATCAATCAGCAACTCGAATGTAATTATTACTTCGGAGGGTGCCGGCAAAGACTGCACTACATTTCTGAGTCTCGCCTGCGGCAGAACAACTGGACTACCACGTATAAAATACACGTGGTACGGCCTTGAGTTTCCACCGCCTTCGATGCGACGCGATGTCGGTGACAAAACGCTTACAGGACAGCAACTAACTTGATCGAAGTCTATGAAACACCAAGCCAGCGGTAAATATCAGCATTTATGGAACTTCTTATCAGGTTTTCCAACAGCAGCAACATTGTGATAAATAACAGATACTAAACGGTTGATGTACTTTATTTTTAAAAGTACAACTTCAGCAATTTGGTCTTTAAGCCGATCAGTAAAAGGTGTCCTTCTGACGAGGTTTCAAGTTCAGCGGTTGGCGCAGTTGCACACTATGTTAAGAGCCGAATTCGAATTCTGAAGCAAACATTTGTTATTTTTGCTACTAATTCCCTTGATGAATTTACCATACGCTGCTTCAGATCAGGATTTCTCGATCGGTAGAGCAACAAAGAACCGAAAGTTCCCGCGTTCGAGCCCTGTTAAGTGTCTTTAGCCTTTCTTACTTCCGAGATAGACAAATGAGTACTACTCTGATAAGAAAAAATTGGAAACAAGATAATACTGACTATGCTGGTCACAGCTCCTTTCGATTCTGCCTTTAAAAATGCAGCAATCTTAGTTGAAGATATGGAAATGGAGATCAGCACCCACACCATTAACATCATGGAAACAACAACAGCCTAGAACTGACCTCATCAAGTAAATGTAAGGATGACCGACATGCTAACAGTTAAAAACTTTCTTTTTTTCTTTCCTTCCAAGTTCAGCGATGCGCAGATTTTAATTTCAAGTTCCAAAATAATTTCTATATTTAGTCCTGTTAAAATAGGTAAACGTAAATTTTAGAGGCTTTCTGACCCACGGATGAAGGCATCAAATAAAACAAATTTTAAAACTTATTATCAAGAGCTTTAAGGTGTTAGCGTCTGTGTTGTTTGATACCCTCAACCATATGTTGGCAATGCGTCTGTAAATTCAGCAACAAGCAAATAATTAATCATGTTACATCGTATTTATAGGTAAATGTTCGTCACGTTTTCGTAAAGCAGTCAAAAATGTTGGTTTCACTACGACGTACACTGAAGTAGCGTTCAAGTGCCCCTGCAGTCAGAGGGTTGCATGTTTTGCGGTCCCCTTTCTATTAGACGCTTAGAGGTCAATGAAGCACGGCGTAGATTGAATACCTGTAGCGCAATGTACATCAAACTTCATTTCATGTTGCTGGCACAAATGGCGCGTCAGGAGCCGGTAATCCTTTGATGTTTGGTCGAAATATCCAAAAATAACAAGGTACAAAGCAGTGCCGTTTCCTAAAATACCACCGATGATGAAAAAGACGCTACTCTAGTCAGGAAAATGTTTCTAGTAATACACGAGTTGAATTATTTCGGAGCCGAGGCGTGCTGAAATGCCCCAACTGTTAAACTAAGAACACGGGGTTTGTGCAGTAGACTACGAAATTCTGTAGCTGGAAGAGTTAAAGGCGAGTTTCTTATTCTTTATTTATAGTCTGAATAATTGTATTTATAAGTGCACCATCATCTCCAATCTCATGATAGTACACAACATGTTGGAGAGATGCTATTTCGTGCATTCGTCATTTCTTTATACATTATGCTCCCTACTTTCATTCTTCGACTTTTCAAAACCGATTTTCTCATTCCGCGCATGGTCCTGTAAGTTGATGCATGAAACACCACATCTATTTTGAAGTTATTACCAAAAAAACTTGTACAACGCGTCCTTAATGCCTGTTTATGCTTAAACACCGGCTTCCTGACCAACAGCAACCATCCCTTTCATTCGGATGTGTCGTTTTGCATATCCCTAAATCTTGGTACGAGATCAAAAATAGTTAATATCCATTGTTGGACGGAACAGCGATGAAAGTCGGTTATTCGTCATGCCGTGTTTAAACTACTGTGCTGCTATACCGTAAACATTCTCTAAGATTCAGGTACACTGACAATCCTTTCAAAGTGATCGATGATCCTATAATAAAAAATATCAAAGGGTGCATCAAAATCAATGAACAATACGTAGCACCAATGGCACATTTCGAACAAAATTTGTAAAATCTGAAATGGGCCAGAAACCTATTCTTTTTTGATTGTCTTTCTTCTGCAAGACAAGATTCAGCTGATGACAGTACTTTAACTGACCTTCACTGACCCGCAAACGAGACCAATTACTTTGTGACTCTGAGCACGTCTTAATGTCAAGTCCTCTTTTTAGGTTGTGTAGAAGCACTACCAACTGCGTTGAGATTTACCGGTGCTTCTAGCGGTTCCTTGTCAATATGCAATTGAATTTCATTGGCAACTTTTCGCATAAGAACCTTAGTAATTGAAGGCTTGAACCAATCAACCAGTCTGACCAGCATCATTTTCTGTGCACCAGATTCACCAAGGAGAAATCATTTCTCCAGTTTATAGGCGTTTCATCATTTGTAAATTTAGCACTGGTGTCAATTCCAGAAATTACAAGGTGAATGATAACGTCACCCAGTAAATTTACAAGATCTTGACTGTTCATCTACCGTCACTGCAACAAAGTCATAACAACTTCAGGAGTTGACGGCCACAGAAATAGCCACGTATGAACACCACCTAAACCTTGAACCAGTAAAGTGTAAAGTCATTCTTTCAAAGATATGTTCGAAAGGATGTTAAAAACATACGGTGCAAAGAAACAATGAATTATTGAGGCAAAATTTGCATCTGAGAGATTCTGTATGGAAGCCTGAACGATCTTGGAATAAAATCAAACGTCATGTAACATCCCCCCCC